CAAAGTGTTACTAACATACTATAAAGTGTTATTTATTATTACTATTATTATTATTACTATCCAGGATAGCATTCTATATCCATCTGGCAATCCAATTATTTTGGCTGTTGTTGCTGTGATAACTCCACACTTTATTAGTCTGAACAAGCTATGCATACTAACCAACTACAAGACAATGCTCTCTCTTCTACTTGGTAGATATTTGACCATGGATAAAAAACTCCAGTTCTCTGAGACTCAGTTTTCAAATCTGTGAAATGAGAGGCTTGGACCATCACAAGATGATCATCTATTAATTACCTTATTTATCAGCAGCTTTACTGAACTATAATTTACATACCATAAAATTCACCCTTTTTTTGAGATAGGGTGTCGCTCTGTCACCCAGGCTGGAGTGTAGTGGCACTATCAGAGCTCACTGCAGCCTCGACCTCCTAGACTCAAGCCATCCCCCACTTCAGCCTCTTGAGTTGCTGAGACCACAGGTGTATACCACCACACCCAGCTATTTTTTTTCTAAGTTTTTGTATAGATGGGGTTTCACTATGTCACCCAGGCTGTTCTCAAACTCCTGAGCTCAAGTGATCTTCCCGCCTGAGGCTCTCAAAGTGTTGGTATTACAGGCTTGAGCCAACAGGGCCCAGCCACATTCACTCTTTTAAGTATACAATTCACTGAGTTTTAGTAAATTTGGAGTTGTACAACCATCATCACAATGTAATTTTAGAACATTTTCATTATTCCAAAAAGAAACCTCATCCCCATTCCTCATTTAGATAATCTTTTAAAAGGTCCTAACTTTTCAATTTCTAGACTTATAAAGCTTTAGTAGCTCCTTGTCAATTTGCAAGTTCAAATTCCTCAGTGTAACATTCAAGGTCCTTTACAATTTACAAAAGCTATCACTCTTTTTTATTTACCCATACAAATGTAGAAATTACTTTTTTGTGTTAAAACATTCCTTAATGAGCTAGCAATTGTTTATGTGAAGGAGAGTCCAGAAAACAGATTTTTGACTAAATTATCCTTGTTCTTGATTAAAGAGATTTATGAATTAAACACATAACACTATTCTCTAGAGTAGTATCTGAGGTCTAAGAGGCTGTAAACTTGGAAGAGCTCCTCTCTGACTGTCAGGCTTCCCATCAGATCATAAGACAGAATGAACATATTTTTCAGTCTCTTTCATTTTTGGACTTTATACTCCGCATCTCATCACCTGACTTGATTAAGAAATCCCAAAGGGCAGTTGCTATATCTATATCCAGTTATGTATCTTTAACTCCCAATGTGGGATTCTGTATATAATAATTAATAATGATGATAGTAACTGGTAGCTAAATTAAACATCTACCATGTGCCAGGCACTGTTCTAAGCACTTTACAGACACTAATTTATTTAATTCTTATAATAATCCTATGAGATAGGTACTATTGTCACCATCATCTTATAGATGAAGAGACTGAGGCACAGAGAGATTACGTATTTGCCAAAACCACAAAGCTAGTTAAGTAGCAGAGTTGAGATTTGATTTCAGACAGTCTGGCTCCAAAGTGTGCACTCTTAAACCACAGCAAATTGTCCAACCAGTTAAAGCTTAATAAATGTTAATTGCATAAAGCCTTACTATTAAGGTTCCATTCCAAGAAAGAAAAGTAATTAAGAATTCTGGGTGCTAACTGACACAAATGTAATGAGGCTAGGGAAAAGTACATAGAACAAATTCTGATTCAGACGGAAGAGTCACCAAACTTTAGGGTAGGCCTGAGATGCTCCAAAAATGATTGTCGAACCCTGAATTGTATCTTAGAAAGATAGATCCGTTGGGAATGTAAAATTTGTAGTGTCTAGCTGAACATATGCATATTCTATGACCCAGAAATTCCACTCCTATGGCGCATACCAACAAAAATGTATATTTAAATCTGTCAAAAGAATGTGCTATTGGTAAAAGGCAGAACTGGAAATTCCCCATCAACAGAAGAATGGCTAAATCACATGTGGCACATTAACAAAACAGAATATACCAATGAGAATGATCTATAAGTTAAAGAAATAAAATGGATAAAATTTTCAAACTATGTTGAGCAAAAGAAGTCAAACACAAGATAGAATGTATTAATCCATTTATATTAAGTACAACAAAAGGGTAAAACGAACCTATCCTATGAGAGATCAGAATAGTGGTTTACCCTTGGGAGGGGTACTGACTGGAAGTGGGCATGAAGCAGGCTCCTGGTAATGTTCTGGCTTTTGGGGGTTTTTTGTTGTTGTTCTTGTTTTTATCTCAGTAGTGGTTGCATGGGTGTGCCCAATTTATAAGTTTATAGTCCAATGAATACTTCCAATGTACATACTTTTTATATGTGTATTGTACTTCAATACTTTTTTAAAGGCTTCCTGAGTAACGAAAAACACTCAAGCAAGAGCCAAAAATAAAAGTCACTTTGGTACTTAACATGCATAACTAATGACTGACAAACTCATAGTTACCATTTGTCCTAGGATGGACAAGGCAGATGTCTCTTTCTTTTGTGGAAACAGTGAGTTAACAAAAGGGAGACCATTTTAATCCCTAGCCATTAATGCAACCCTAATCCTTTCTAGAAACTGCAAAAAAAAAAAAAAGACTCATGGAGCATACCTTCTGTGGGCACTCACAGCCCTGCCAGGCACCAAAACAAATACTAATTCTGTTTAAAGAATCAAGTCTTCATTTGGAGTTTCTATTTATATTTCAAGACTAATGACACTATCCACATAGTACAAATGGAGTCTGATCATCATGCAAGTTTAAGTTTTCTTGGGCACAAATCCTATCCCAGCACCAGTCTGAGCACTCTCATCTTTATTTATTAGGCAAGCATTCCACATCTATGGATCTCAGTTTCCTCATCTGTAATATGGGAATAATAATAGTATCTCCTAATAGATTATGGTAAGGATTGAAGGCCTATTTCATGTAAAATATCTAACATACTGTGTGCCACATGGTTAAATATTCAGTATGTGTTAGCTGCTATTATAATTTTAATATGGGCCAGTTAATGGTTTCTTCCCCCTTACAATTTCTATACAGCCAGCCCAGTTTATAGCTTCAATCCCTAACAGGGGCATTTAAATATTTTAACACTCAAGGATAAGCGCAGTTCTGCCTTGCCATATTCCCCAGGTCAAAAGAGAAAAAAAAAAAAGAACATTCAGGTGAGCTGATTTTGAACTAGACAAGTAACATAGCCCAAGCTTAGGTAGGTTGGCAGAAGAGGGAGTCTGGACAACAGAAGTTCCTTTCCTTTAATGGTACCACTTTCTTATACCATGTCAGAGGACCTGGTACAGATTACATGCTCTGGAAACAAAGGGACACAGAAAAAGGCAAGGCTGGCTGTTATAGGGGATGTGGTTCCCCTCCACAGAAAAGGGCCCTGAAGAGGAGGGAGTCAGAAAAAGAGGTTTGAAGGTGGGAGTTTGTGCTTTGCCCATCAGGAAGCATCATGGTCTTATGCTAACAAGTGGGCAAAACGTTACTAGTTACAAAAATTCTTTCACATACATCCTTTTACTTAATCCCACAACCACCTTGTGAAGTGAGCAGGGCAAATTTCATATCCTCATTTGGTAGGTGTATTAGTCCGTTTTCACGTTGCTGATAAGGACATACCTGAGGCTGCGCAATTTACCAAAGAAAGAGGTTTATTGGACTTAACAGCTCCACATGGGTAGGAAGGCCTCACGATAACAGCAGAAGGAAAGGAGGCACAAGTCACATCTTACGTGGATGGCAGCAAGCAAAGAGAGAGCTTGTGCAGAGAAACTCCCGTTTTCAAAACTATCAGATCTCATTCACTATCACGAGAATAGCATGGGAAAGACCCGCCCCCATGATTCAACTGTCTCCCATAGGGTCCCTCCCACAACATCTGAGAATTATGGAAGCTACAAGATGAGATTTGGATGGGGACACAGAGAGAAACCCTATCAGTAGGTGAGAAAAGCTAAGGCTTAGAGAGGTTAAATAATTTGTCCAAAGTCATTAGCTAGTAGTTTGTGAGGGTGCAGTGGGCAGCATTTTAATTAAAGTCTTCGGACATCAAAATCCATGTTCTTTCCATTAAAAACACGCTAGATTTTTTTACCTGGACTTCAATTATCCTGAGTCACGTGTGTTACGATCAACAGGAAAAAAATAACCACAGACTAGTTGTGAACTTTTCACTGTTCCCCAGCCCCAGAGAGGAGAAAGGAGGGAAGTGCATTTGAAACAGAAAGGGGCTGGCATTGGGAAGGGAAGGAGTAGAATCTGGAAAGATGAGAGAAAAAAGCACAGTGGCAGCTCTAACTCAGGGCTGGCAAAAACCAGGCGACAAATGGCTGGATAAACCTCTTGAGTTTCTCCTCTGGGCTGAGCAGGGCCAGATCCAATCTGCCCCACTCTCCTTCCTTTCCCATTGTCCAGCTTTGGCTGAAAAGATGCTGTCGCCCCACAAACCCGCACAGGCATGCCGTGGAGCTGTGACGAGAGTGGGTCTGGGCAGCCCTTGGGGAATATTTGGGGCTGGAGGAGCCAAGAGGATTGTGAAGAAACGCTGGATAAAGGAAGTAACTCCGCAGGAGGCAATGCCATGTGGGGTATTCGCGAATGGCGGTTACAAGTCCGGCTAGTATAAAAAGCTGAGATAAGGGTGGGTGAAAAGTCAAGGCTAGAGAGGAGGTGGGGTCCTAGGGCTAGCACGGGGGCGCACCGGGCGCGGAGGCAGTGTCGCGTAAGGGGACGGTGGCTCAGACCACCACTTTCCCGGCCGCCGCCGCCCGCAAGCGGATCCCAAGAAGAGGTGTTTGGTTGAAAGGGGGTGTGGACCCAGAGAGAGAACCCGGGTCCCCACACAGGAAAGACGCATCAAAGAGTACCGTGAGAAGGCTGAGGAGGCGTGTCTGGCCTCCCAGGTGAGCACCAAGAAGAAGCTCGCGGCTGTCAGCCTCGCTTAACTCTTCTCCTTACCTTGGGTACCGTGATATGATCCATGACCCCAGTTCCCGCCGCCGGAAGATTTCAGTGCTACTCCGGATGCCGCTGCCACAGCTCTAACCGCCTTCGGCCCCAACCCGGGTTTTTACACCCGCCCTCCCGGTCCTGGCTCAAACTCTCGTCACCTGATCCTCGGCGGAAGCTCCTATCGCGACACTTCGTTCGTAGCCGCTCTCGCCATCTTGCTTCCTGGCAAATGCCCTTTTCTTCGGGGAATTGATTATCCTGGTTCGGGTTCAATGTTTGGCATAGTCTTTAAGTTCCAGATTCTAGTACTGCCACCCTTCTCACACTCCTTGAAGGGCTCTGAACACAGATGTTATTCCTCTAATAATACAGTGATAGCATCCTGCAGCGGTAACACAGGCTGCCGTTATGCTGGCAATTGAGTTTCTGTAGAGCGTCCTAGCTGTGAGACCTTAGGCAAGTCATTCTAGAATATTTATTGAAATATGGAAAGGTATAACCTCCTCTCTATCCCTTATTTATGTGTCTGCTGCCATCAACCTAGTTAAAATATTGAATACTACAGTACCCTCATGACTTTGCCATCACAGAAATGGGAAGAGGACCAAGGAAGGGCCCACTAGACCAACTCTCACACAAGGGGTAGATAGGTGCACACCCTCAGTGGTGTGTTCCAAGTCAGATTTGTGATGGAAGAAAGAATAATCTGAGAGTTGGAAAATCTGGGTTCTACTCCTCTCAGGTCTGCCACTAACTTGCTGTGTGACCTTGGGGAAATCATGCCACCTCTCTGAGTCCAAGTTGACCAAGATTACAATGAGGGTATTGGCCACTATCTCACAGTAATTTCTAGCTCTACTATTGCAGGGTTATGGCTTGCAATCTCACTTCCCCTTCAAAATAATTTTGTTCTTCTTTGAGTTCTCATAACTTTTGCTAGCAAAACTACTCATTTATCATATTCTGCCTTTTTCCCTAGCCTGAAGGCCCTTCCCTCAATCCATTAGCTTATTCTTTCTTGTACCATCTTTCCATCATTTTCAGTCCTTTCACTGCCAAATATCTCAAAAGAATAGTGTACTTATCATCACCTTCAATTCTCCATAACAAACTCACTCCTCCCTTACCACTCCACTCAATCTGCTCTTTCACATCATTCTCAATTCCAGTTGCTGATTCCAACAGCTCTTATAAGTGCTCATTTTGTATTTGTTTTACAGCCCTTAAAACTATTAATTCATATTCCTTTTTGACATTCTTTCTTCCCTTGGCCTTTATCATAAAGCAAACTCACTGCCTGTATCCCCAACTGTTCCTTCTCTGACTCCTTCCCAGCTCCTCTTTCTTCTTTTTTTAAGCCATTTTCCTGGCTTCTATCCTCATTCCTCTTCTATTTTTATTCTTTTGATTATTTTGATCACTTCCACAAGTTAATCCCTTACTCCCTGATATGACTTCGATCTGTGTCCCCACCAAATCTCATGTCTAATTGTAATCCGTAATGTTGGAGGTGGGGCATGGTGGGAGGTGATTGGATCATGGGGGTGGTTTCTTCTGAATGATTTAACACCATCCCCCTTGCTACTGTTATTACCATAGTGAGTGAGTTCTCACGAGATCCAGTGGTTTAGAGGTGTGTGGCACCACCCCCTACCCACTTTCCTTCTATTCTGGCCATGCGAAGTGCCTCACTTCCCATTTGCCTTCCACCAGGACTGGAAGCTTCCTGAGGCCTCACCAGAAGCAGAAGCCACTATGCTTCCTGTACGACCTACAGAACCGTGAACCAATTAAACCTCTTTTTTTTCTATAAATTACCCAGTCTCAGGTATTTCTTTATAGCAGTGTGAAAAGGAGCAAATGTGCCTCCAGTAAGGGACTCCCAAACTTCACATATCAAGTACCACGACCTTTTTCCTGAGTTCAAATTTATAACTTCCAATTGCCCTCTGACAGTTCTACTTGTGTGTTCATTAGCACATTAAAGGCATCATGGCCCAAAACAAACTTATCTTTCACACTCTTCCACAACCCCCTTGTATTTTCCCGCCTCTACCACTTGCTCTTTCTCAAGTTTTTCCTATCCCTACTGATTGCACCACCATATACTCAGTTACTCAGACTAAAAACCTTGTTTCCATGCTCTTTAGGATAATGGAAAGGGTATGTAGACTCTAGTCAGACCAGGTTCATATATTGGCTCAGCTATATGCTAATAATACATGGCCCTGGGCAAATTACACAAACTCTCTGGAGCTTTGTTTTCTCATCTGTAAACCTATTCTCATAAAGTTCTTGTGGGAATTCAAAATGTAATGTATATGAGGTTTCAGGAACATTGTAAAGACACAATGAATATTGACAGGTTCCTTCCTTTCCTCAACTTTATCATCAAACGTTTCTGTTTTCTCTCTCAAATGCTTACCTTGCTTCTTAGTTTGTTGATAAAATAAAAGCCATGAGAAGGGAACTTCCACATCATCCCACAACCAAATATGCTTGATGTCCTGCACATGAGCCCATATAATCTGCCTTCAATTAGTCAACTCTTCCAGAGCCTTCCTAAGGCAACCCTTCCACTTGTCCCCTCAATTCATTCTCTTTAGCCTGCTCAGTTGTTTCCTTGCCTTTGTTACTAAATGTTTCCACTTTACCAGATCACTGCCATCAGCATGAAAGCATGCCATAGCATTTTCAATCTTAAAAAATATCTTTTGGATCCACATTTCTGTTCCCAACCTACCAACCCCCCATTCCTCTTGTACTTAATAGCAGAACTCTTCAAAAGATTTATCTAAATCCATTCTCTTCTTTTCCTGTCCTATTCCTGCTTGAAACCACACTAATCAGCCTTTTCTTCCACCACTCCACCAAACTGTTCTTGTCAAGGTTACCAATAATCTCCCCATTGCAAAATCGCAAAATCCGTTGGTCATCCTCAGATCTCTTTTTGTCCTCTCAGCAGTATTTGATCACTCCCTTCTCGTTGATACATTTTGTTCACTTGACTCCAGGAATAGAAATACCACTTTCTCTCCTACTTCTCTGACTTCTCTTTCCCAATCTCCTTTACTGTTTCACTTCATTTCGCCTATCTCTACATGTTTTGGTAGAGCTCAGACTTTGGTCCTCTTCTTTATTTACATTTATTCCCTGGGTGCTTCCATCCAGTGCCATGGCTTTAAATAGCATCTATTTGTGGACAACTCCCAGAATGTTATCTCTAATCTTTATCTGTCCTCTGAACTCTAAAATTCCATAATACCCAGCTGCCTACTGACATGTCTACTCAGATATCTCAGAGGCATCTCAAACTTGTCATGTCCAAAACAGAAGTTTTGTTTTGTACCGGAATCCTCAAGCCTGCTCTTTACACAGTGTTACTCAACTCAGGAAATTGCAACTACATCATTCCAATTGGTCTTAGTGCATTTGTGCTGCGAAAACTAAATAGACTGGGTAATTTGTACAGAACAGAAATGTACTTGTCACAGTTCTGAAGGCTGGAAATCCAAGATCAAGGTACCAGTAGGTCCAGTGTCTGGTGAGAAGGTCTTTCTTTGCTTCCAAGATGGCATCTTAAATGCTACATCATCTGGAGTGATGAATGCTGTATCCTCACATAGCAGTAGATACACACATGGCTAGCTCCATCTAGCCCTTTATAAGGTACTAATCCCATCCATAAGACTACACCCCTCATGGCCCAATTACCTTCTAAAAGCCCCACCTCTTAATACTGTTGCATTGAGAATTAAGGTTCAATATGAATTTTGGAGGAGACGCAAACATTTAAACATACCATGCTTAGTCAGGACAAAAGTCTTCAAAGCATCCTTTCTCTCATAACCCAACCTGATTCGTCATCAAATCCTGTGAGTTCTTCCTTCAGTATAGTCTCCAAATTCAACTACTTCTCACTCCTGTACCTTGGCCCAAGCCTCTATTTTATTATTTTTTTATTTTTTGAGACAACGCCTCTCTGTCACCCAGGCTGGAGTGCAGTCATATAATCATAGCTCACTGCAGCCTCCAACTCCCAAGTCTAAGTGATCCTCCTGTTTCAGCCTCCCAAGTAGCTGAGACTACAGGTGTACCACCATACCTAGCTAAATTTTTTTTCTTTTAATCTTTTTTTCTAGTAGAGATGATGTATTTCTATGTTGCCTAGGCTTGTCTCCAACTCCTGGACTCAAGTACTCCTCCCACCTCCACCTCACAAAGTGCTGGGAATACAGGAATGAGCCACTGTGCCTGGCCCCAAGCCTCTGTCGTCTCTTGCCTGAATTGTTGCCACAGTCTCTAGCTGGTCTACATGTTTTGGCCCTGGTCCCCCTAGAAACTATAATCTACATAGCATCTTCTATGGGACTAGAATCTAAAATCTAGAATGATATCATTCCTTGGTTTAAAGCTGTCTAATGGCTCCCCATCTCAGAGTGAAAGCCAAACATTAACTACAGTCTGTAAGTCCCTACATATTATCTAAGCCCAGTACAACTCTGATTACATCTATTATATCTTCTATCACTCTCTTCTCTGTCTGCTCAAGTCATATTGGTTTCCTTGCAGTTTCTTAAATATACCAGACATGCTTCTGCCTCAGGGTTTTTACATTTGTTATTTCCTCTGCCTAGACTGCTCTTCCCCAGATATTTTTATGTTTACTCCCTCATCTTTGTCAGGTCTCTGATCAAATGTCACTGCATCAGAGGATCCTTACCTAACTGAACACTATATATAAAATAAAACTATCACCACATCTTCTCCAATGTTCTCTACACTCCTTTTCCTTCACAGTTATCAATACTACCTGATATATTATAAATGTATTTGTCATTTATTACCTCTCTCTCTAGTATGTCTTCTCTATGAGGTCAGGGACTTTTTGATCACTGTTGGATTTCTAGAATAGTCCTGACACATAGTAGGTACTCAATAAATATTTGTTGAATAAAAACAACAAATATTTTTAGAGGTATCCCAAATTTTTCCCACCATTAACATTAGTGATTTCTAATAACATTTTCTTTTTAAGGCAAGTTGGTGTCATTTCAGAAGAAATTGATGCACACATAGTGACTTGCCAAAGGTTGCAGAAGAGCCACAAGTCAGAATGTACCCCCACTGGAGTAGAGAAAGCCTGGAAATAAGAGAGAAAATCTGGAAGAAAAAAACTACTAGGCTAATAAAAATGTTTGCAGTGAAAGAGATACTAGTAACATGTATTATTTGTTTCTTCCCTGTAGAATGTCAGCTCCATGAAGGCAGCAGTTTGTCTCTGTTGTGTTCACTACCGCACCCTACTGCCTAGACAAGTTCTTGGCAAGTAGTAAATGTTTGACAAATAACTAAATGAATGACTTTAGACTAATAGTTAGTGTAGGCCAGAGGGTAAACTAAAGGGAATGAGTCCAGAGGCAAGGAAACCAAGTAGGAGGCTGTTGTCATCATCTCAAAATAAGTTGTGAACTGGTGACCCTGTGGGCTTTTTGACTTTGTACCTAAAGGTCAGGTCTCAGTAAGATTAGCCAACATATGAGATACTAATTGCTGCAGTAAGTCTCACCTGTCCTATTTCACATCTAAGCCTTTAACTCAATTATTTCCCACTTATGTTCTACTAAGGCTTTCCTACTATTGGGGGTTGATATTTTTCTCATGGTACACCAGGGAAGTAAGTAGGTATACATTTTACCCACTATCTTTATAGCTACAGATACAGCCTCAGAAAGCTACTGCCAGAGATCACCAATGATGTCATTGATTATGACTCTTTAAAAAGTCACAGAATCTTTGTGACCTCACTCCTGTTCTTGAGGTAGCTTGGTAAGTCACAGCAGATGGCAGCTGGGACAAAACTTTATTCAAGTCACCAAGACCTCCTCTACCTTGCTTCCGGGGAAAGGCCATAAGAAGTAGACTGTATTTTTAGTTTATTTCAGTCTCAGCTTATCAGACTTCTTGAGCCAAGTGCTAACAAATTTCCTTTGAAGACCAACTTGCTAGAGACAGGTTATCTGAATCATGCAGTGTATACGGGATATCAGTGAAGAGGTCTGGAAGGACTGTATCACTATGCTCCTACAGACTGGTATGTGTTGTGATGCAGCAATTATCACCAATTCCCCACCCTGGTTATTAGCTTCTTATTCTGAAGGCAACTTGTTACAGTTGAGCCAGGAAGAAATTCAGATTTTACTGGCAAAGGAGGAGAGAGAGAAGTTGTTTCTCCAAGGAGTTTCCCTTGCAGGGATTAAATGCTTGTTAATTCGAGACAATCTGTATGCTGAAGGCAACAACACCATGGACCTGCGCACCAAAGGCCAGAGTCGGAGCAGCCGGGCAGTGACAGTAGTTCAGATCGAGTCTGTATGGCTTGTGGTGATTGGACAAAAAGGAACAGAAGGAGGGCCTCTCAACCTCAAAGCTTTTGAGATGGCAGGTTATATCAGAGAGGCCATTCAGCAACACGTGGCCCATTTCTAACGAAATAAAAAAGAGTCGATGTCTGACCTATAATTTGAATTCAGTGTTATGTGTTTCACCTACTAAAGCGATATGTTCTTCCAGAAAATAAAAAGGAGATTCCAGACCAGGTTTGGAGGGGGGTGTGTGTGTGTGTGTGTGTGTGTGTGCGTGTGTGTGTGTTGGGAGGAGGTATGGGTTAGAAAGTGAGTAGTTCTGTCAGGTATTTGGGGTCTGGTCCCTTATGTAAAAATTTTCTGCACCTAAAATACTATCCCTTCTGTATTAGTCTATTCTTGCATTGCTATAAAGAAATATCTGAAACTGGGTAATTTATGGGGAAAAGAGGATTAATTTTTGGTTCCACAGGCTATAGAAGAAGCATGACACTGGCAACTGCTTGGCTTTTGGAGAAAACTAAGAAAACTTACAATCATGACAGAAGGCAAAGGATAGCAGGAACTTCTCATGGTTGAAGCAGGAGCACAAAAGATTGAGAGGGGACGTGTGACACACTCGTAAACAACCATATCTCACAAGAACTCATGGACTCTTGTGAGGACAATATTGAGAGAGATGGTGATAAACCATTCACAAGAAATCCAGCCCCATCATCCAATCACTGCCCACCAGGCCCCACATCCAATATTGAGGATTACAATTTGACATGAGATTTGATAGGAACACCGATCTAAACCATATCATTCTGCTCCTGGCCCCAAGATCTCATATTCTTCTCACATTGTAAAATACAATTATGCCTTCCCAAATATCCCACAAAGTCTTAACTCATTCCAGCATTAACTCAAAGTCCAAAGTCTCATCTGAAACAAGGGAAATCCTTTCCACCTATGAGCCTGCAAAATCAAAAACAAGCTATTTACTTACAAGGTACAATGGGAATATAATAATTGGGTAAATATTCTTAAGCCAAAAGGGAGAAATTGGCCAAAAGAAAGGGACTACAGGTCCTGTGCAAGTTTGAAACCCAGCAGGGCAGTCATTAAATCTTAAAAGTTCCAAAATAATATTCTTTGACTCTGTGTCCTACATCAGGGCATGCTGGTGTGAGAGGTGGGATCCCAAGGCCTTGAACAGCTCCACCCCTGTGCCTTTGCAAAGTTAAGCCTCCATAGATGCTTTCAGGGGCTGGTGTTGAGTGCTTGTGGCTTTTCCAGATGCAGGGTGCAAGTTGTTAATGGACTAAACATTCTGGGACTGGAAGACGCTGTTTCTCCTCTCACAGCTCCACTAGGCAAAGCCACAGTGGGTACTCTTTGTGGGGGCTCCAATGCCACATATCCCCTCTTCACTGCCCTAGTAGAGGTTCTCTGTGGGGTTCCAACCCTGCAGGAAGCTTGCCCTGGACACCTAGGCGTTTTCATACATTTTCTGAAATCTAGGTAAAGGCTTCCAAGCCCTAACTCTTTCACTCTGTGTGCCAGAAGGCTTAACACCATGTGGAAGCCACCAAGGCTTATGGCTTGCACCTTTCAAAGCTGCAGCCCCGAGGTGTGCCTGGGCCTCTTTGAGCCACAGCTGGAGCTAGAGTAGCCAGGATGCAGAAAGCAGTGTCCTAAGGCTATGTAAAACATTGGGGGCTGTGGGCCTGGCACACAAAATCATGCAGTTTTCCTAGGCCTCTGGGCCTGTGAAGAGGAGCTGCCGCAAAGGTCTTTGAAGAGTCTTTGAGGCCTTTTCCCCACTGTGTTGGCGGTTAGCATTTGGCTCCTTTGTACTTATGCAAATTTCTATAGCCTGCTTCAATTTCTTCCATGAAAATTGTCTTTTCTTTTCTATCATATGGCCGGGCTATATGTTTTTCAATCTGCTTTACACTCTGCTTCATTTTTAAATATAAGTTCCAACTTTAGATTATTTCTTTCCTCACACATATGATGATAGGATGTTAGAAGTAACCAGGCCACACCTTGAACACTTTGCTGGATAGAAATTTTTTCTACTGGAGACCCTAAATCCTCACTCTAAAGTTTAAAGTTCCACAGATCTCTAGGACAGGAAAACAATACAGCCAAGTTTATTTCTAAGACATAAAGAAGTGACCTTTGCTCCAGTTCCAAATAAGTTCCTCATTTTTGTCTGAGACCTCACCAACCTGGACTTTATCATACATATCCCTGTCAGTGTTTTGGTCAGAATCATTAAGCCAGTCTCTAGGAAGTTCCAGACTTTCCCTCATCTTTCTGTCTTCTTCTGAGCCTTCCAAACTCTTGGCCTGTTACCTAATTCCAAAGCTACTTCTACATTTTCAGGTATTTTAATAGCAATGCCCCACTCCTGGTGCCAATTTTCTGTACTAGTTTGTTCTTGCATTACTCTAAAGAAATATCTGAGGCTTGATAAAGAAAACAGGTTGAATTGACTCATGGCTCCATAGGCTGCACAGGAAGCATGATGCTGGCATCTGCTCAGCTTCTATGGAGGCAACCAGAAACGTACAGTCATGGTGAAAGGCAAAGGGGAAGCAGGCACTTCACAAGGCCAGAGCAGGAACGAGAGACAGTGATGGGAGAGGTGCCACACACTTTTATATGACCAGATCTTATGAAAACCCACTGACTATTATGAGGACAATACCAAGGGGGATGGTGGTAAAACATTAATGAAAAATCCACCCATGATGAAATCACCTCTCACCAGGGCCCACATCCAACACTGGGGATTACAATTCCACATGAGTTTTTCTGGTGACACAGATCTAAACCATATCAGCCCACCTCTCGACATATGGTGAACAGTGGACTGGGGAAAAAAAAAAACTTAGTTCTTTTGTTTTTTAAAAAAATTAGCTGTTATTTTAGGTTCAGGGGTACATGTGCAGGTTTGTTACCTAGATAAATTCAAGGTCATAGGGTTTTTTTCTACAGATTATTTTGTACTCAGGGTACTAGGCATAGTACTCAATATTTACTTTTCTTTCTTTTTTTAACTTTTATTTTAGGTTTGGGGATACATGTAAAGGTTTGTTACATAGGTGAACTCATGTCACAAAGGTTTGTTGTACAGATTCTTTCATCACACATATATTAAGAAATATTAAGCCCAGTACACAATAGTTAAATGTTCTGCTACTCTCCCTCCTCTCAACCTCTATCCTCAAGTAGAATCCAGTGTCCATTGCTCCCTTCTTTGTGTTCACTAATTCTCATCGTTTAGCTGCCACTTATAAGTGAGAATGTGCAGTATTTGGTTTTCTCTTCCTGCATTAGTTTGCTATGGATAACAGCCTCCAGCTCCATCTATGTTCCCACAATGATATAATTTTCGTCTATCCTATGAATATGTAGTATTCCATGGTACCACATCTTCTTTAACCAATCTGTCATTGATAGGCATTTAGGTTGATTCCGTGTCTTTATTATTGTCAAGAGTGCTACAATAAAGATTGTCATATATGTGTCTGTATGGCAGGACGATTTAAATTCCTCTGGGTATATAACCAATCATGTGATTGCTGATTTGAATGGCACTTCCACTTTTAGATCTTTGAGGAATCACCATACTGCTTTCCACAATGGCTAAACTAATTTACACTGCCACCAGCAGTGTATAAGTGTTCCCTTTTCTCCCCAAACTCACCATCATCTATTTTCATTTTTGTTTTTGTTTTTGGCTTTTTAGAATAGCCATACTGACTGGTGTGAGATGGTATCTCATTGTGGTTCTGATTTGCAGTTCCATAATGATCAGTGATGTTGAACTTTCTTTTATATGCTGGTTGGCCCCATGTATGTCTTCTTTTGAAAAGTGTCTGTCCTTGTCATTTGCCCACTTTTTAATGGAGTTGCTTGTTTTTCTGTTGTAAAATTATTTAGGTTTCTTCCAGAAACTGGATATTAGACCTCTGTCGAATGCATAATTTGCAAATATTTGCTTTCATTCTGTAGGTTGTCTGTTTACTCTGTTGATGACTCTTTTGCTGTGCAGAGGCTGTTAAGTTTAAATCCCATTCATCAATTTTTCCTCTTTATGAGATTGCTTTTGATGCCTTTGTCATGAAATCATTGTCCATTCCTATGTCCAGGATGTGTAGGTTGTCTTCCAGGGAGTTCAAATCTTTGGGTTTTACATTTAAATCTTCAATCCGTCTTGTGTTGACCTTTGTTCATAGAGTAAATAAGGAGTTCAGTTTCAACCTTCTGCATATGATTAGATAGGTATACCAGCACGATTAAATGAATAGGGAGTCTTTTCCTCATGGCTTTTTGTCAGCTTTGATCAGATGGTAATATATGTGCAGCTTTATTTCTGGGCTCTCTTTTACCTCCCTGGTTTGCTGTATTTCTAAATATTTTATTATTTTTGTGGATACTGTGAATAGACTTTTCTTCCTTATTTGGCTGTCGGCTTGACTATTGTGTATGTTTAGGAATGCTAGTGATTTTTGTACATTGATTTTAGATCCTGAAACTTTGAGGAAGTTGGTTATCAGCTAAAGGAGCTTTTGGGCCAAAACTATGGAGTTTTCTAGACATAGAATCATGTCATCCACAAGCAGGGATAGTTTGACTTCTTATTTGGATGCCCTTTATTTCTTTATCTTGCCTGATTGCTCTTGCTGGAGCTTCCAATACAATGTTGAATTGGAGTGGTAAAAGAGGGCATCCTTATATTGTGCTGGTTTTCAAGGGGCAATAGTTCCAGTTTTTGCCCATTCAGTATGATATTGGCTGTCAGTATGTCCTGGGTGACTCCTTTTATTTTGAGACATGTTACTTCAGTACATAGTGTATTGACAATTTTTAACATGAAAAGGTCTTGAATTTTATCAACAGGCTTTTCTACAACTATTGAGATAATCATGTGGTTTTTGCATCTAGCTCTGTTTATGTGATGAGTCACGTTTATTCATCTCCATGTGTTGATCCAACCTTGCATCTCAGGGATAAAGTCTACTTGATCATGGTGGATTAGCTTTGTGAGATGACACCAAATTCTATTTGCAGGTATTTTCTTCAGGAATTTTGCATTGATGTTCATCAGAAATATTGACCGAAAGTTTTTTTTTCTTTTTTATTGTGTCTCTGCC